GAGGGCACTGAGGAATGCAGAGCCCCTCCAACAAGGCTGTGCCACAGATTTCCCTGGCAGGTCCACTGGCCCTATTGCCACCATTTAGATATCTTCTTTGGACCCAGGTGATGCAGGCTGAATAGCCATTTATTCATTCATTTAAAAATATTTATCTGTGTCTACTAAGTGCCAGGTGCTGTTCTACGCTCTGAGGATGCGCCACTAAACCCCACAGAGCAGGTCCCTGGCCTTCTGGAGGGTCCAAATGAGTTAGTGCTGGAATCCTCTCTGACTTCCTTTCAATTAAAATACTGCTGCTGATACTGGACAGACTTTCAAACTAGTTGTAAGCTGTTGGGATGTTCACATCTCTTAACAGGAGTCACTTTCCTTAACTGTAAAATGATAGACATGGGCAAAATATTTCCAGCATTGCTTCTGGCTCCAAACTCAATGTTTATGTGGATTGTTACAGAATGTTAAGCATACACAGAGATGGGGAGATAAACTGTCATTCATCTCAGTGTAGGTCCTTCATTTTCCTCCCCCCATTCCTCACTTAGAAATGCACAGGGCTCGAAGATCAGTAGAGATCCATCTTTCTTGTCCAGTGCAGCCTCAGAAAATAAGGTCTGATATCAACATGTACCTCAATTAAGAGGCCTCAGTGCATTCAGGCTGACCGTTCCCCTAAACACTGCAGCTAAGCCGCTTTCCTTGTTGTGAGTGTAGCTGATGTGCTACTAACTATAGACTCGGCTCCAGTGGCACTGCCTACTGGCAATGTTTTTGCCCCTTGCTGCTGGCGGAGCTTCCATGAAAGCACAAACACTGGAAGTCTTTCCTCCTGGGCAAGTCCTGCTTCGTAAATCTTTCCCTCTTTGTGATAAGGGAGAAGTTCCAGGTCCCAGGGCTTTTTGTATTGGATAAACAGTAGAGTTGTTCATTCTGTGAACTATAACCATTTACTTTATCTTGCTGAGCCACCATTTTCTCACCTGTAAAAGGAGACTAATGATCCTAACTTTTTGCCTTCTGTGATTAAAATGCATGGAGGGAGAAAAGTGCTAGCTTGGTAACTGAGGGCAGCTCTTGGTAGGGGCAGCTCTGTGCCTGCATTCTCTCAGGGTTGCCCTCAGACAGAGAGTCTGGCCTCTGGAGTGTCCTGCTGTCCATGTGTGGGGAGTGAGCAGTGGGCCTGAGTCAGAGGGGCACCAGGGGAGCATGGGCTGTGAAAAAGACTGGCTCAGCTTCCTCACAGGCTGAACTTCCTGCACACCCCTTCAGAGTTTATATTATTAAATTTACACTTCCCATTCTTCTTGTGCTATCTAGCATTTCTCTATTACCATGTAATCACCTGATGTGCCTTAGAGCCAAGCTGTCTGAGATGGTGGCCACTAGCCTCGTGTGACTATTTAAATTTAAATGAACTACTAATAAAATTAAATCATATGGAAACTTTACTTCCCCTTTACACTAACTACATTTCTAGCCCTTCATAGCTACAAGTTATTGTATGGGACACTCAGATATAGGACATTTCCACCACTGCAGCAAGTTTCTCAGTCCTTCCAAATCACTCAGAAAATTATTCTGAACTCTAAAAAAGGAAGCACAGTTGACAATGCCCACTTAATGTTTACATTGGGTAAAGTTAGTTATGACGAATAAGATTTACCCTTCAATTCTCCACTTCAATGATGGTTCCCAGTCCTGTCTCTGTTTTGTCACTCTGTTCGTAGACCCAGCAGTGACAGGGTCTCTGGAACAGCAGTTATGGTGTTTAGGAAGGGGTGCCCACCCACTAGGTGAGTGTTTCAGAGTCCTGGTAGTGGAGGGTAGTAAAAAAATCTCCCCAGGTCCTTCTGATTTCTCTGAACCTTACCTTCTCTACTGGAAAATCACTGAGAAACACTGAGACCCATCACAGGGTGGAGTTCTAGAATCAGATGGTCTGGGTTCAAATCCCAGTTTGGCTGTTCAGTAGCTGGGTGACCTTTGGTATGCCCTTAACCTTTGTGAGCCTCTTCTCATCTCTAATGACACTCCTGAGCCAATGCAGGGCTGCTCTAATACAGGGCCTGAATGCACAGTAGAAGCTCACTAAGGTCAATGTCTTATGCACCAAAAAACGCCTGAGGTTTGTATTCAAATGGGTTTTGTTTCAAGACCTGGTCTGCCCGTTCACAGCCTTGAACACATCTCTTATGCTTTATGCATCAGCTCAGCTTCCTCACCAGTAAGAAGTAATAATAATAGCAAATACCTCTGGGGCTTATAAGGATTAAATAAAACAGTATATGCCAGGCACATAGTGGTACGTTCTCCTGAGACACAACATGGGACCAGGTTGTTGTTAATGCTGCAAAATATTCACACCCTGATTGTGCAATGTGTACAACAGGATGTCTATGAAGCTTATGTGATTGCAAAGGGCATGGCACATAGTAGGTGCCAATAAATTTTCCTTCCTTCACTTACACTGCAGCCTCTGTGAAACTGACTTGAGTCAACCAACCTGCTGGGGCCACATAGAAGCCTGTCTTCAAGTGGAGTGGTATGAAGACAAACAGAAATGATCTATGTACACAGCAGCTTTGATAGAAACTCTGCAGAACTCTGATGTATTTTATATATATTACGTAGGGCTTGTGATGCTCTGTTTTTAAAAATTCAGGGCTTGGCCTGAAGCTTTGCTTTCCCACATAGTGCTGTTGAGATTATGGACTAGTCCCTAGAAAATTAGACAAAGTTCTGTAACAATCCACTGGGTCCCACTTTGTCAGAGCTCAGTGAATGAACAGTGAAGACACTGACCTATGGGAGGATGCTGTCAGTTAAAAGGATACACAATTTTGAATCCATGTAATTATTAGGCAAATACACATCCAAAATTTGTAAGATTATTATCTTACTTTTTTCTACAGTTATGAACTAAGAGTGTCTAAAGTCATGAATAAGAGGGAAAAGCAAAATTACATTTACTGAGTGCTTACTGGGTGGCAGTTCTATGCTGACTGTCTCACTATAGTCTCCCAGCAGGTGATGACAGAGATATTAGCTCTGTTTTACTGGTGAAGAAAGAGAGAAGGGGTCCTTTTTTGGGGGCCCATAAGAGCAGAATTCAAGAGGTATACCAATTTACATAGAAAAAACCCTACGTCTTAATTTTCACTAATTTTTACTGGAAATAGCTTCTTTGATTATGAAGGCAGGCCCATGACAGAGTGGTATTTGCACTTCCTCAGTTTGTCACCAAAGATCCTAGAGATTTTTATAACCTATTGTAGTCTTTGTAGTTATCTTGAAGTAACATTTCAGTTATTATCACTACTCTAAAATTATCATGGCCATTAGACTTGGTACTAGGAGTGGTATAACACATTTTTACTTAATGTGTTAATTAAACAAAGGGCATATTTTACTTTATCACAAGTTTGTTTAAAAAATTTATAACTGGTTTCAATATATTTGGCTTTCTTTGTAATCTCATGTATTTCATCTAAAACATTTAAAAACAGTGTACTGAGATGTGGTCCATAGATTTCACCATACTGCCAAAGGGGGTCAGAGCACAAATGTTGAGAATTGCTAAAGTAGAGGTTCAGAGAAGTCCAAGTATTGTCTAACCTGGTGAAATTAAGATTTGAATCCAGGTCTAAATAACTACTAGAGAAGCTGCAAGTCCTTTTCCAGGACCAAAGGGGAATGGAGTGGAGGACATACTATTAGAGGGCTCTGACTCTGGCCAAGTTCAGATGATCAACAGGAGTAAGGCCAGGGCAAAGGATGGTTTGAGGTGGATTTTATCACCCTTAAAATGACATAGGTACTGGAGGTGTATCCTTGCAATGGAATATGACATAGCAATGGGAATAAGTGGGCTATTACTACACATAATAACTTGGATTGTTCTCACAAACATAATGTTAAGTCAAAGAAACCATGTAATTTAATTAGATAAAGCCTAAGAACTGTAAAGCTAACCTATGGGGACAGAAATGAAAACAATGGCTGTCTATGGAATGTCGGGAATAACTGGAAGGAGGCATAAGGAATTTTTCTGGGGTGATGGAATGTTCCAGTTCTTGATTGGACAGTGGTTACTCAGGTTTATATATTTATCAAAACTCAAATAATACACTTAAGTTCTATGCATTTCATTGTATGTACATAATACCTTAATTAGAAATAACAATGATAAAAACTGCTATTTCTATTGTACTTATGGACAAATGAGGAAAGAATTTAAATAAAGAGAGACCCTATTGTCCAATCCTCTTGCCATGATGGGAAGTTGGAAGGGAAGAAGTACATGTGACCAGTCCAGTAGTTTCTGTATGGGAAACTTCTCACTTAAATCCCTTCCAATGTCTATCCATATCACTTAGAATGAAATGAAGTCCTTGCATTGTCCCACAAGTAGAAGTAATAAATTAATAGTGTTATAGTCACACAAAGGAGCACTATTCAACAATGAGAATAAATGAACTACAAGTACATACTAAATATATTTAAATCTTACCGCATAATTCTGATCAAAACAATCTAGATACAAAGGAAAACACACATATGATTCCATTTATATTAAGTATAAAATAGGAAAAATAATCTTTAGAATTAGAAGAATAGTGGTTACCCTTGGGGAGATCATGGTTGAAGGGGATACGTGGTTTTCTGGGATATTGATTGTGCCCTGTTTACTGATCTGGGAGCTGGTTATATTGGATGGTTTTTGCAATTAAAAATAATGGCATAAGCCATCAGAACATTGATCACACCTACAAGTAGGCACTCTGAATTACAGAACTGTGTTCTATGTAAATGACACCCCTCCCCTCCCCTCCCTCTCCAAGTTTTGCAATACTATAACTTGGCCTGGAAGCTGTTGTCTCTGAATCAAACCCAGCACATCTCCCTAACACGGAGAAGGAATCTGGTATTGACTCCAATATGACAGCACCATTTCTGGGGCATTTCCACACGCAGCAGGAAGAACCACTGCACCCACTTACTCAGGGTCCTGCACTGAGCCTCCCACACAGTGGAATCTCTCGGGCACAGTTTTCCAGTCTTTAGCCATTTTCACCATGGCGCCTGCATCAAGGACCCCATAACCAAATAGGTGATTAAATTCCAGGCCAACTCCGTTCCGCCGCCACTGATGAACCTCATCATGAAGCTGGTTTCGTTTCGAGGTGAGCACAGTCAGATGCTGCATGTCTCTCCAGGTTAGATCCAGGCTGCAGAACAGAGGCAGAGAGAGTTGGAGAACAAAGGCGAAGGGGAGGGTGAGGGAGGGAGAGACACAATGACTACAGTAGGGCAAAACCCCCTTGTGAGATTTGGAACATCTATGAATCCCTAAGGGAGAATTTCCATGCTATTTAGAACAATGATATATATATGATATAAATGTAAATATATATATATATTTACATTTATATCATATATAAATTTATATGTCATATATATCAATTTCAAAAACTTGCATTTTTTACTGAAATTTATTTCAAATATTTTAACACACACACTGGAATGGCTAAAATGAAAAGACTGACAATACTAAGTATTGGCAAAGATGTGGAGTAACTGGAGCTCATGTACTTTGCCAATAGGAGGGTAAATCATTGCAACCACTTTGGAAAACTATTTGGCTGTATCTTCTAATGTTGTCCATATACTTAAGCTAAGGTCCAGAAGTTCCATTCCTAGGTATGTATCCCACAAAAATGTATGTATATCTTCACCAGACACATGTACTAGAATGTTCAAAGGTCCTAACTGTGAAGCCCTCAAATGCCCATCCAGAAGAAAATGAATAAATCAGTTGAGGTGCATTTGTAGAATGGAGAATAACACTATAAAGCAACAAGAATGAATGAGGCATTTTTACTCTGAATAGTATGAATGAATCTCATAAACAGAATGTTGATCTACGGAAGCCAGATACTGAGGAGAATATATTATATTATTCTACTTGTTTAAAGTATAAAAACAGGGAAAACTAATCTATGTTATTAGAGGTCGTGTAAATGGTTAGTGTTGGTGGGGGAGGGGTCACAAGGGTCTTCTGGGTGCTGGCAGTGCTCTGTCTTTTGATCTGGGTGTTTGCTACATGTGTGTGTTCTATTTGTGAAAATAAGGCTGTCACTTATTCAAGGGCAGAGATGATACTGCATATTTTTATCCTCAGTGTCCAGGGTACAAGGCAGCCACTGACACACTGTTCAGTGACTAAAAAGTCTATATGCAAATGCCATTGTTTTTGGAAATTAGTGTCTAATGTTACTCAATGTCTGTGTTTTTCACACTGCAAATCATGACCCATTTGTGGGCTAAGAAATCAACTTATTGCACATGTTACCTACCTGGAATGCACATAAAAATCTTCTGGTGGGAGGCACTTAAAATTCTACTGCTTAGTCCATACCTCAGACCAATTAAATCAGACTTTGCTGGAGTGGGACCCAGATATTGTTAATATTTCCCAGTTTATTCCAATAGATAGCTAAGGTAGAGAACCAGTGATTTAATAGGTGAGGCTAGCATTAAAAAATGAATGACATAGAAAAGAAGAACAGCATACATTTCATGTAATATGAAAACTACTTTTTTCATGGAATTTTGTGTGTGGGGGGGCGTGTGTGTGTTTTGCAATGCAAAATTTATTTCTCACTGAGTGTCATGGTCAAAAAAGTTGAAAAATCAATATTCTCTTCAGAATTCAAAGCACGAGGAACAACATAACTCATTTGATAACATTTTAACACATGAGGTGTTCATTGTTTCGAAGCTTTGAATCAGAACCAAAAATGCTAATGATTCACATGCTTTTAAAATGTAGATCTTTCTACATTTCTAGAAATGTAGATGAAGAAAGTTTCAAGGGAGGTCAATGGTTATTTGAGAAAATTAAGAACATAGTGTGGAATATGATTCCCAGGACTCAAGTAAATTGTGTGAAATTTCTTGACTTTGATTATGACCAAAATTTTGCTCAGTGTTTTTCTGGAATGAGATTCTGAATTAATTAAACCTAAAATGGCTTATAGTTGACAACGGAAGGATTTGATGACTTGGAAGTGAACTGCAGGCTGACTCTCATTTTTGCTAGACTGCCACAAAAATGTGCTATGCTTCCCCACATTTGGAGAAGGACTCTCTCAGATGCTTCTCCATGGACTTATTATCATGGGGTATGAGAGAAAATATGTTAGAACAAGGATCTTTCACTTCTGAAATAAATCAGAGCATGGTTCACATTTCAATGTACCTGAGTTTGTGACACTGTTTGGCCAGCCATTTGCGTCTGTCAGAAAAGTAAAACTGCATCCCTCTTAGTTCCCTCTTCTGAGCAATTTCAGGATTGACAGAATACACTATTGTGTAAAGCAGGTATTTTATCAACCTGCTTTTAGCTTTAATCTTACCATAGCAGCTCAAACATCTTAGGTAATACCTACTAAATGATAAAAAAATTTACAGAGTACCTATAATATAAAGGTCACTGTATTAGAGGACAAGTAATGTGATATCTTCTTACTTGATCTCAAATATTTCATATAATAGTTGGGAAAATGCGACACAGGTATGTAGAAAAGTATAGCACAACAAAATGATTCCATGAACTACTATTTAGTGTCTGCCATGTCCAGGCACTGTCCTAGTTCTGGGCATATTGCAGAAAGGTCCCAGTCTCGGGTGAAAGACACACAATCTATGTTTAAAAAGAGACAAAACCACAATGACATATTAGTTATGTCTGTTAGAATGGTTATTATAAAAAAGACAAAAGATAAGAAATTCTGGCAAAGATGTGGAGAAAAGAAACCCTTTGCCCTGTTGGTAGGAATGCAAATTGATGCAGCCACTATGGAAAACAGCATGGGGAATCCTCAAAAAAAATTAAAGATAGAATTACCACATGATTTGGCAATTATATTTCTGGTAATATATCCAAAGGAAACAAAACATTAACTTGAAAAGATATTTGCACCCCATATTCATAGCTGCATTTTTATAATAGCCAAAACATGGAAACAAACCAAGTGCCCATGAGTGAATAAATGGATAAAGAAGTTTGCCCATTATATATAAAGTAGAATATTATTCAGCCACAAAAATTAAGAAATCCTGCCATTTGTGACAACATAGATGGACCTTGAGCATATTATGCTAAATGATATGTCAGGCAGAGAAAGACAAATACTGTATTATCTCACTTATATGTGAAATCTAAAAAACAACCCCCCCCCAAAAAAAACAAACACAAACCAATAGAAAAAGAGATAAAATTTGTTGTCACCAAAGGTGGGGGAAGGGGGAAGGCATTGGAGGAAGGTGGTCAAATGGTACAAACTTCTAGTTATAAGATAAATAAATATTAGGGATATAATGTACAATATGATCACTATTAGTTAGCAATGCTGTATGATATATAGGAAAATTTTTAACAGAGTAGATCCTAAGAGTTCTTATTACAAGGAAAATTTTTTTCTTTTTCTTTTTGTTATATTTATATGAGATAATGGATGTTAACTAAACATATTGTGTTAATCATTTCACAATATATGTAAGTCAAACCATCATGCTATATACCTTAAACTTATACTGTATAATGCAGTGTGTCAATTGTATCTGGATAAAATAGAAAGAAAAGGGAGAGCTGTCATGAAAGGGGAACTAGGATGCTGAGGGAGCCAACATGGAACCTGTGTTATTCCACCAAGGGAGTCTCAGCTGTGGTCCTCAAACCTCCAGTGTTAGAAGCATATGGGGGTCCTGACAAATATAGATTCCTGGCCTCAACCCCAGCTCTCCTGAATCAGCCTCTTGGAGGTTGTGAGACTGAGACTATGCACTTAAGACAACATGATGATTCTCCTGTGCACAGATGTGTGAGAACATTGGTCTAAGATGGCAATTCTCAAGCAGATGGCTGCATGTGAATCAAACATTAAAAAAGTAATGATGTCAGACAGGACCCAGAGATGTTGATTTCATGGGCTTGTCCAATATACAGCCAAAAGCCTAAGCAAAGCTGGTCCAGGGGAGCGGTTCCTAACTTCCTGGGCAGCACTGGGATGTTTGTTCAAATTCCGGCTTTCCAGTCATGACCCTGGAGATTCTGAGTTGTGGACCTGACCTGGGCTTGGATATCTGTTTTTAACAAGCACATCAGGGCTTCCGATTATCAGGAAATTTGAGAAACTCAAGGATCTCTTAGGAAGTGGCATTGTAAGCCAAGGTCATGGGGATGAGCAACTCACCTCAAGAGTGACTGAGTGAAAAGACAGGGAAGGGGAGGGTTCTAAGGGAGAACAGCTTCTGAAAGGTTACAGAAGGGGGAGAAAGCAAGTATTGTGCAGGTGATTAGCTTAAGAAAACAGGAAGGCGGAAGCCCCAAGTATGACAGGAAGGGAGAATCAGAAATTGTGAGCAGGAAATGATGACAGGGCATTCACCCACATTAGAACACTGGTACTTTATGTCGGTGACAGCCAGTAAAGGCGGAGGGAAATGTGATCTGATCTTTATAAACAATTCCAGGGAGAATGAACTCGAGAAGTGTGGGACTGGAAAGCAGGACCATACTAGTCAGAGAATGCTGCAGGAATCTAGCCACGTATGACCATAAGGAACATAGCTGGGAGCTGTCACAAGGCCATACATGAGTAAGTCCTATGTGAATTATCAATAAAAACTGTTATGTTTGGGCAGCTGGAACATCATGGTTCCAATCATTCACAGGACTCGTGATGTTCTGGAGATAAAGGCAGGCTAGTAGATTGGTCCTGGGCCACTCGGAGTGGACCAACTTGCTCTTGGTTTAGGGCAAGCACCCACAGAGATCAAAGTGGAACCCAGGGCTTCTAATGGAGACAGAGGCTGGTTACATTTTCATTTGGAGTGACCAGGGCTCCAAAGAAAGAGGTCACTCAGGACACTGTGGAGAAAATCTTGGACAGATGTGGCAGAGGTTTTGAGCAAGGAGAGTGTGGGGCTCTTGGAAAAACCAGTCTGAAGCCTAGGGAGAGACAGGCCTCATGTGGCTGAAAGAAGAATCTTGTGCCAGGGAGACTCAGGAAGGGCTGTTTCTTAAATCACCTAAAGCTAGCCCTGGCAAGTGAATTATATGCTTAAGATTGTTCACCTGGATGTAATCAGCAGACCTAGATCTCCTGCAGAGCCCTGCACTCTCCAACATTTATAATTGGTTTACCAACTTCCTGCTAAGAAGAATAAAGTACAAAATGTTGACTTTGTTTTTTTTTTTTTGAGTTCTCTGTGAGGATTGCCCCTAACTGCTGTGTTTCAGAGTTCTTCCATTTATGGTATCAAATTCTCCTGGACCCAATTTTCCTCCTAATGATCAAGGCAGCAAAGGGAATTCAGTAGAGAATGTGCATCTTTAGAGGACTTGCAAACTGAAATGTTTTAAAGAGGCTGCAGTATTGAGGTTGGAGAAATGACTTCTGCTGATATCTGGTAAATTCTAGAAGCCAACAGAATTTTAATCCCTGTAGTTATTGGGTATGATCTTTATCTGAACAGAATAAGGTGTGTGAACCTGAGCAAGTAGCTTCAGTCCTCTTGGCTGTGTTCTCTTTGTGCAGAAGAGATGTTTGGAGTAGTGAAAGATTCATTTGTTTTCTTTCAGCTTTAAAATTCAGTCTGTTTTCTAAACTCTGACAGGATTATAAGGTCTAGATTATTTCTAGTCTGAGAAAAATAATGTATTTGTAAGTCAAGCTGGTGTTTTGTCCACAGTCTCTATTTGTCTAACTACTACAAACTGTGAGAAAAAAAATCCAGTTTACTTGTTGCCCTGGTGTAGCTGTGATATGCAAAACCCCATATTGAAGAAACCCAAAGCCTATGAATCTGTCTAGAGATCCAGTGGCCTTGCTCCATCGCTTTGATTTATTTAAGTTGTCCCTTTGCATGTGTATAGGCCTGGGCAAGTGGCTTTTTGCTTTCCAAAATTCAAGGAGATTTTGAGTCAAGTTCTGTCCTTTTAGTTTTAAAAGGAGACCAGAATCCCCCTCTTGCTTTTGGAGCACTCCTGCTCCCTGCTTTTTGCCAAGCTCAGTGGCAGGCAGTGGGTTCACCTTGTCTGCTCCCAGCTGGAGTGAGCAAAGCTAGGTTCCAGGGCCCAACAAGCTCTGAGACGAAGAGTTCATCTTCAGGAATGCATGTAATCTGTGAGTAAGTTTTGGTCTCTGCACTTAATAGGAACTCTTTGACCAGCATCCATCTCTTGATGTCTTAAAATTTCCACCTGACATTTGTTAAAATAATTGAAGTTTGGCTTCGTCCAAAGAGAGGAGTCACTCCCAGTCTGGGACCTTGTTTGTAAAAGGAGGATGATTATACCTGTTTTGCTTGAAGGCAGAGGGTTGGACTAGATAATCTTTCAAAGTCCCTTCCTATTCTAGGAAGCAATTCTTCCCTCTTTCACAAATCAAAAAATGCATATGTGGAGAGAGACAAGCAGGGCTGCCTGGAGAAGGATGCTCAATGCTCCAGTTGCCTAGCAACAGCTGAGGGGTCTGGGGTGGAGACTCAACACTGCTTCCCCAGGAGTTTGAATCCAACTTCTCACAAATTGCTGGTGCTGCATTTTCACACAAATCCCTACACGGTGGGTATTGGCACTCACATCGAGTATAGGGTGCCTTAAGTCCTCATATTTATTGCTCAAACACAAAGGCAGCCTCTGGCTTGCACTAAGAGAATATTGAGTAGCAGGTGAGCAAGAACTGCAGCTGATACTTACATTCAAGGTGTGCCCAGCCGTAGTGATATGTGGCCTCTCTATGAGATGATGAGAACAGAGGGGGTGGTCTCTTCTTACCTATAGCTTGGAAAGTTTTCCAGTAAAGCCCATTTCTTGGTCTATACTGTGTGATTTTGACTGCCTTGTCTCAATGTTAAAAAGCAAATTCACCTTATAAGTTAAATCTTGAGTGGAAGCCCCCTCTTTGACACATGTTCTGAAATACCTTGTAGATACCCAACTTGGCAATAGTTTTTTTTTTTTTCCATTTAGCTGATTGTATTACTGGAGTAAAATAGCCAAAGGATTATCCAAAGGATAAAGAGAGTTTTTATAATTAAAAAACGTCTACATGCTCCTATTTTGGCACCCGAGTAAGTGGCTGATGTGGGTGGTTAGGTGTTGGGGTTGTGTACTCTCTTAGGGATGTACTTTCCCAAGGGCTATTGCATCAACATTTCTTTTCCCTTCAGGAAGGAAAGGCACTCCCAAAGAGGGAGGAAAAAATAGGCTCAGCTAAAGCTTGCCTAAAAGGACAGGTAATTAAAAAAAGTGTTTCTTTACATCTAAGATTCATGGAGAGATTCTGAGACATGCTGAACCAAGATACCTGATATGTGAGTGATCCTTCCACAACTGTTCTTAAGGGTGGGAGGTGGGATGGGGGAGAACATAATGATTAACCGAGTTTTAAAAAACTTTCACAAAGAGAAAAGCCTCACTTTCAATGTTTGTGAGAGCCAGGTTTTTATTAAAATCATGTATGAGCTGCAGGAGTTCTTCCTCCCTTTGTCTATAGGATCCTCAAGTGGGTCTATTGTAGTTTGTGGGGCATGTGTATGTGTGAGGCTTAAGGTCCATGGTTCATTTAGAAACACCCACCAGAGCTCCTCAACCCTGATTATTCACAGTCTCTTGCAACTATTTTTGCCTCCATGGACACCTGGTCTTGAGTGGAGAGACACACGTTAGTCTACCCTGCAGAGTTGGCCTTCAGCTCTGAGCTGGAAACATACTTAGCCTCTAAAGCCAGAGCAAACACCCCAGCTGCCTCTGGAGCTGCTGCAGATGTCCCAGAATGCCTCAGAGTACAGTTGCCATACAAATCTGTGGTTGCCTGAAACGGAAGATATTAAATAATGAGTCACGCTATTTTGAACCCTAAAACAATACGGACCAGAGGATTATCTATTTCCTTTACAAAAACACTGCCTTGTTCTGAAGAAGATTAAGATTAAGGTGAGGATACATTTAGCCCATACATCTATTTTGCCATACATTTTATCTGCATTTTGTAGCAGCCCATGCAGAAAGAGACACATAGTCAGTTATATTATAGTGCCCCCAGATAAAAGAAAACCAATTGTTCAGAGAAGCATATCTGCAGCTATTCCAGAGAGGAGAGAATTTGTTTTCTGGATCCTAAAATGAGATACAATAGGTGGAGAGTCACACGTCAATATCACCACCATAGTTGATAGGTGGTGAGTTTCGTTACATTGGGATTAGTTTTCAAAAAGTCCAAGGGCTATTGCATCAACGTTTCTTTTCCCTTCAGGAAGGAGAGGCACTCCTAAAGAGGGAAGAATAAATAGGCTCAGCTAAAGCTTGCCTAAATGGACAGGCCACTAAAAAGAAAGTGTTTCTTTACATCTAAAATTCATAAAGATTGATTATCGGCTTGCGAACTAAAGTATTGCAAGTTTGACTCCCAGTCAGGGCACATGCCAGGGTTGTGGGCCAGATCCCCCGGTAGGGGCCTCTTGCAAGAGGCAACCACACATTCATGCTTCTCTCCCTCTCTTTCTCCCTCCCTTTCTCTCTGTCTAAAAATAAATAAAATCTTTAAAAAAATAAAATTCATAAAGAGATTCTGAGACATGTTGAGGCAAGAAAACCCATATATGAATGGTCCCCCCACAACTCTTCTTAGGGGGGAATATCTTCTTAATGATCAACTGAGTTTTAAAGAACTTTCACAAAAGAGAAAAACCTCACTTTAAATATTTGTGAGAGCCAGGTTTTCATTAAAGTCATGTATGAACCACAAGAATTCTTCCTCTTTTTGTAGGATCCTCCACTGAGCCTATTATTTTGAGGAACAAAGTATGAAGGAGGTATAAAGGCATATGTTGGGGGAAAATTGCAATGTTCAGGTAGAACTCAAGGCCCTTACCCAGCTCTAGTAAAAAGAGAGTCATAGATAATATTGGGGACAAAGTGACATCATTGGGAGGCCTTTGGGACAGGGAGTAGAGCTTCTGGGGGACGAGAGAAGCACTACAAACAAAACAGGATTGGGGCCCCCCCTAACTTGTCCCTTTCTGCTCTGTTCTCCCTTTTAGCCCGTACCTCTCATAGGATAGGAGAGACTGAAGATTACTTCGTTCAGAAGGAGCTGGCATGCTCTCTGTCCTCCCCCAAGGCCAGGTGGGGGCCCAGGAGGGCTCATGGAGGGAGCCAGGCCAAGATCCATGTCTCCTGTAGGTAAAGGGATCTCCTGGCTCACACAAGAGCCCCGCCAGCTCGCCAAGGTGGAGCCCAAGTGGCATAGAAGCACTGGCTGGTAATAATGATTGCGTTCTGTGTTCTTGTCCTTCCCTGGGAAGCCCCAGCCGAGGTGGTGACCCGTCAGAATGTTAGTTTAACTCAAACAGGACTGTTGAGCTACCTACGACATTCCTGGCTTGGAGGTCTGAGAAAAAGGCTGATCTGTGAGTGAAATGCCCAGAGAGAGGAAGATATCCAAAAAGGTTCATTACACATGACAGGTGTTTATTTTTAAGGGGCTTGGAAAATTTACTATTATACCTAGTTACTTAGGAAGGAAGAGCTGCTCAGAAAAGTGCAATAAACAATAGAAGTCTGTGATTCTTAATCTTTTGTTTTCTCAATCACTGGCCCATTTTAAAGTATGATGAAAACCACTACTCTCTCCCTGAGAAAATGCACATATGTGCCCAATTTTGGGAAGTTTATAGACCCAGAAAGGTCCATGCATGGATGCTACTTTGTAATTACTATAATACATGGATGGATTTTTGGCTCAGATAGGGTGGTGATGTGGTGACCCAGTTCTTTATGTTAGTTCTCCTTATTTTTTGACCTTCTAGGGCAACTTTTTGATAAATCAGACTTTATCTTATTTGTAAATCAAAACAATAAACAAGATAGACAATTTGTGGAAAATGAGTTGAAAGGGGGTCACTGCATACTTGCTTTCAACTTGCATACCTTATGACTTATGTGTATCTCTACCTTGATAACAAAATATTATCAGGCCTGAAAAAGAGGCCCTGACTTTTTAGAGAAATGGGTAGCTCCCTTTCCTCCCATGATGCCACAACATCCAGGCATGACGCCACAGTGCTGGTGCATTCTACAGCTTAAGAGAGGGCCAGTGGCCTCACTTACCACTCCGGCCTCGGGGTTTCTTTTCCTTCCATTGCTGAAGGTGGAAGCCAAAGTGGAGGAGCAGCTCTCGTCGTACAAGGCTGTCCTGCCATCATTGATGGCTGAGTTGATGGAGATGGTCCACATGCTCGAGGCATAGCCATCGCAGTTGCAGTCATCGTAGCTGCCTCCATCCCCAGAGGCCCACACGTAGATGCTGCCTTTGCCGCCTCGGCCCTGTGGGAGGAGAGAGGAGATACTGCCAACTCCTGCACTCATGGGCACCCAGAGCTGCAAGAGGGTCCTTCCAGGTGTTGGGGGTCCTGGAAGGGCTTTGTGAACAGCTCAATGAAATGACTGGATTCGGTTTTGTCTGCCCATGAAAACCACTATCATCTAGTAGAATGCCATGAGTATTTCTTTTTTTCCAGGAAAGGTTCAATATATAAAGTCATCCAAATTTACAATTTAAGCTGGGACTAAGGTGATGAGAAAAACTGGAAGAATCTCTGTAACATTTATAAATGAATTACTTTAAAAAAGTCGAAGTATATAGAAAGGAAAATGAAAAAAAAAGTCAAAGTATACAGAAAGGAAAATGAAAAAAAAAATCCCCATAAGTGTAATCATTATTATCCAAATCTTGTGCATCCTTTCAGACATTTTTCAGCAAAAAATGTGAGTATATATTTATACTTAGCTACATAATATAGAAAAAATATTTATATATTTTATTTTATATAGTTACATATCATTTATATAAAAATGTATATATGTAGACATTGTAAATAAAAAATACATATTTTATGCCAAAATATATAAATATTACAAATCATACATGTATATATACATATGCAAACACATATCTGTAAGTGTACATACACGTGTATATGCATGCACATATATGTACAGGGTTGGGCAAAAGTATGTTTACAGTTGTTCATGTGGAAAATAATATAATAATAATACAAGAATAAACTGTGTTTCATGTGCTCACAACAGTAAACATACTTTTGTCCCAACCTATATATACATATATACAAAAACATATGTAGGTATATGTATACATATATGTATATGCATATATATGTAAATATGTGCTTATATACAGGTATATATTTTTTATACCCATTGGATCATAATTTTTTTATATTTGTCTTTCTTTTTAAAAAGTTATTAAGTATATGTTATTTATTATGCTATTACAATTATCCTATTTTTTCCTCCCTTTCTCCCTTTTATCCCCTTCCACCCTGCACCCCGCCCTCCCAACAGCATTCGCCTGTTCCCCTTAGTTCATATACATGGGTCACACATATATGGTCTTTGGCTTCTCCATTTCCTATGCTATTCTTAACCTTCCCCTGTCTATTTTGTACCTACCATTTATGCTTCTTATTCCCTGTACCTTTTCCCCAATTCTCCCCCTCCCCCTCCGCCTCCCCCACTGATAACCCTCCTTGTGATCTCCATTGCTCTGATTTTGTTCCTGTTCTAGCTGTTTGCTTAGTTCATTTTTGTTTTTGTTTTTTTTTGAATCAGTTGTTGATGGTTGTGAGTTTATTGTCATTTTACTGTTCCTAGTTTTGATCATCTTTTTCTTAGATATGTCTCTTTAACATTTCATATAATAAGGGCTTGGTGATGATAACCCCTTTAACTGTCTTATCTGGGAAGCACTTTCTCTGCCCTTCCATTCTAAATGATAGCTTTGCTGGATAGAATAATCTTGGATGTAGGTCCTTGCCTTTCATGACTTTCAATACTCCTTTCCAGCCCCTTCTTGCCTGCAAGTTTTCTTTGGAGAAATTAGCTGAATAGTCTTATGGGCACTCCTTTGTAGGTAACTCTCTGTTACTCTTGCTGCTTTTAAGATTCTCTCTTTATCTTTAATCTTGGGTAATTTAATTATGATGTGTCTCAGGGTGTTCCGCTTTGGGTCCCATTTCTTTGGGACACTCTGAGCTTCCTGGATCTCCTGGAACTCTATTTCCTTTGCCAGATTGGGGAAGTTTTCCTTCATTATTTTTTCAAATAAGTTTTCAATTTCCTGCTTTTCCTCTTCTTCTCCTGGCATCCATACAATTCGCATGTTGGAACACTTAAAGTTGTCCTGGAGGTTCCTAAGCCTCTCCTCATTTTTTTTGAATTCTTGTTTCTTCATTCTGTTCTGGTTGAATGTTTATTTCTTGGTTTTGTTCTAAATCATTGATTTGAGTCCTGGTTTCCTTCCCTTCACTGTTGGTTCCTTGTATATTTTTCTTTATTTCACTTTGTGTTACCTTCACTTCTTCTTAATCTTTTGCGTCCGTGCTCAACCATTTCTGTGAGCATCCTGATTACCAGTATTTTGAACTCTGCATCTCATAGGTTGTCTATCTCCTTGTCGCTTAGTTTTCTTTTTGGAGTTTTGATCTGTTCTTTCATTTGGGCCATATTTCTTTGTCTTGGAACATTGGTAAGGGGCAGAGCTTTAGGTATTTGCCAGGGTGGGGTAACCCACTTCACTGCTTTCTGGCGCTGTATTTAGAGAGGGAACAATGCTGCTTGCTCGGTTCTCACCCCACTTTCAGTCACTTCCCCTGCTATTCACAAGCAAATTGGACTTTTCTGGTGCTTATTCCTAGGTGGGTGGGTATGTGTACTTTCTAGGACCCTCTGAGTCCCTCCAACGAACTCTCCAGTGAGGCCGGAATTTTATCCTGCTGCTGCAAATCCCACAGGTTTTTATAGCCAGCGTTTTTAAGGTTTTGGTTTCCCATGCTGGAACCCTGGGTTGTGTGGTCTGTCTCACTCCCTAGTTGATCCTCCTGGCTTAGCTGCATGCAAATGTGGGATCATTGGGTCTGCCAGCTGCCACCTTGCCCATCCAGTCCATTGCTTTCCAATGTATCCTCTCTGCCCTGGCTGCCCTTTTCTGCCCCTCCTACCAGCCTGGATGAACGTTTCTTCTTTAACTCCTTGGTTGCTTGACTGCCATACAGTTTGATTTTCTGGCAGTTCTGGTTGTTTTTTGTTTTTAAATTTGTTGTTGTTCTTCTTTTGGTTGTGAAAAGAAGCAAAGCATATCTACTTATGCTTCCATGGCTGGAAGTCTAGAATTCTTTTGGACATGGTATTATATGACATTTTACTTATGGGCGGAACACCAAATGTGGAGAAAAAGTCTAATATGATCAAGCAAAGCAGAGAAAAAATAACTGTCACACATAATGAGGTGCACAATGTTAATGCTAATTAGTCATAAATGCAAAGCTTAATCATAAATACTTATAGTTAGCATTGTTTTTCTGGTTTGAAGAGAACTTTTTTTCCCCATTCCCTATCTTCTAGGAGTATTTTTCTACTTTCACCACCCAGGAGTGACCATTCCTTCCGGCTTCCTGTGTTCTGATCCAGGGTGATAGGGTTGGGGCTACTCTGTTTTTCCCTGTGTGCTGAGAACAGTGTGCAGGAGAGCAGTGTTGCTGTATGGAAGGTGAGCAGTAGGTGTACAGCCTCCCTCTTCTCCATAGCCTGGCCCAGGTCACTAGTTAACCCTCTAGAGGCAATAAGATAGAAGCCATGGCCGAGAAAGATTGTTTCTGCATAGCCATTAGGAATCCATGGTCCTGACTCAGTGGTTTATAAAGGTAGAGATGCCAGAAGGAAAGAAGACAACTGGACTACCTCCAAGGTCTCTCTGCCTCCTTCCTGACCATAAGAAGTGGCATTTCAATTGCCTCTAACAGGACTTGGAGTTAATTAGCCTGTGACTGATTGAGTTGATATATAAACAATGATTTATTCAACCACTAGCTGAGAACTGTCCTCAGAGTCTTTGGTAAATCTACATTGGAAATAATCCACCAAAACAAGCAGCTGATCTCAGAAACCAGGACAAAGAGGGAAATGTATCATCCTTACAGCTGGTGCAGGGGATCACACTCTCAAACAGACTCAGATGTGGGTTCGTTGTCAAGAAATGGCACCCTCTGAAAGTGAAACATATGTAGGTCAGGGTAAATGGATCTTTTCCCTGAATCAGTCCACAGGTAGGCTGCTAGTGAGATGAAGCCAACTTTGCTAAAAGGAAATCAATGCCTGGTGTAGGGAGTGTGGTAGATTGATTGTGACTATTTTTTCAGGGTTCTCTGTATTCATGCCCCTTTATGTCTTTGCATTTCTGCCCACCAAGAGGAGGGGTCCACTTCCCACCCTTTGATTCAGGGCTGGCTTCTTGCCTTGCTTTGGCTAACAGGCTGTGGTGGAAAGTGATGCTGTGTCAGTTCTCAGCATAGGTCTAAGAAGCCCTATGCATTTCTCAGAACTCTGTTTGGATCATGGGAACAAATCCGAGGTTACCTGCTAGTTGAGGACAGATAAAGCCCAGTCAAAATCACTGCCCCAGCTCACAGACAGTAACTTCCAGACTTGCAGGGGAGGCCGGCCATTCTATACCAGTCTGTAGCACCCCCTCTCGCTGACCACAGGTGCATGAGTGAGTCCACTTCAGATTAGCCGAGGCTGGTCCAGATTGGCAGAATAACCCAGCTGACTTGTAGACCATAAGCACACTTGAATGGTGGTTATTTTAAGCTACTGAATTTTGGGGCAGCTATGTGGCCTAGCTAACTGATACAGAGAGAGCAACTTTGAAGAGTAAGCAGCAAATGTTAGTTTTGCATTGCAGTACATATAAGATTAGCCCACAAGAATACATTGATTCCTAGGAATATGAAGCTTCATTTTCTAAGCAAGATAGAACACATGAGACATATTACGTCTTTGTTTCTAATGACTTGGTATTAGCACCAGTAGTTCCAGGGTAAGATGGGCTGGTGAGGAAAAAATCCGAGTTCTGGAGGCAGATGAATGGGGACAGGGCATCTTTAAGAGGACTGAGAGCTGGTCATAGGATGGGTCTGTTATAGGCATGCATGCTTTCCTGTGGTAAAAATAATATAAACATAGCCACTTTACAATAGAATCAGAACTGCCATACCTGAAGGTCTGTCTTGTACCTCTTACTTCTCAGGTCTTTGGAATGTTAAAATAGGGCATAAAGCAACATTGTACTTCAAACAACTGTTTGCAAAAATGACAAGAAAGCAGACACTATGACTGCATACTGAGAATGGAAAACATTATTTAGAATTAGCTTCATTATGTTAGCTTATCTGCACCTATAGAAGTTTCTTCCTTCTATTGATGTAATTGTCCCCCTTCTCTTTCTCATAAATATACTTTGCCTTTGC